TAACGTCGAAAGAATTTCTGTATAATTCCACCCGATGGCCAGTGATGAAAACCTAGGCTATGGAGTTACGGTGTAAAAAGTGTGGAAGGTGAACGTGCTTGATGTCGCGGAGAAGAGAACGAGAGAGAGAATCTTTGTACTGTGTTTTTATATTGTGATGGAAATCATGTTTTGTTACATTTCTATTGTGAAAGAGAGAGAGAGAGAGAGAGAAGAGAACACGCGTTTTACTACGTAGTACTTATTTGTCTTCTGGCGAATGTTCAAGAGGTGTGTTCAATTGGTTGTTTATTAAAAGCAAAGAAATCCCGTTAGTTTTTCCTTCCTGCGTTAGTATATTGACGAATGTCGCGGCGACACGTGTACAGCGTGTGAAACCGGTGTGAAATCTCGTTTCATTCGTATATTTCGTCGCGATATATATTCAATTGTAATTCGTTCGTGTTAAATTTCACTGGCGTGATCGTAAATCGACCACTCGCGAGAAGAATTATATTTGTACACAGCTGGAAAGCGCGTGGAGAGAGAGAGAGGTGCGCCGGATTAACGATTGCAGAGACGAAACGTTTTTACCCGACGAAAAGAACTATCGTTCCCTAGATTTTCGTTTCGTTTCTTTTTTCCATCGTTTCTCTTTATCGACCGTCTGTAATGTTTTTGCGCGGCGAATGTTGCTCTGCAAAGACTATTTTACAACTACCGAAGAACAGAGATTCGTGCGTTCTTAAATTGTTGTTGGACCGTCGTCGACCGGCACCTGATACAAAATGCAACAACTTCGATGTGGCATTACGTCATTCGTGTCAACCATGTTACTGTCTATCGAATTACACAATTAAATTATTTTAATATTACGAAACATTGTGCTGGTTTCATCCTAACCCTTCCCTCGACGAAACAAGACGCAACTTCCGGCGGGAGAGATGCGGGTAAGTATGGATTTATATAGCATGTAAATTATATTTGTATTCGAACAATATACGCAGAAATGGATGCCGCGAGTCGTTAAATCGACGTTCCTATTAATTACGGCATAAACGTGCCGGTAAACTAGCCTCGCAATAATACACAACGTAATATATTTCTATTCTAATGCTTGTAATGAATTATTGCGACGGGGAACTACTACTATTTACATTTTCGCGCAGTTTGCGACATTTTCGTTACGAGTTTTTACGATTTCTTCGATTAATACGCGTTCCTAAACATGTACGGACTTGGTTTCTTTAATTTTCTATTGAAATGTTTGAAGAATGAGTGTTTTGCAAAAGGAAATGGATTTGGTGTGCATGGGAGAAACGAATACACTGTAAAATGCTGTAAAACAATACTGGTATATTGTAACCTTTTGTAAAATACATTTTGTACAGTTATCTTACAATAAATCATTGATTTTTTGATAAATAATTGAATTTCTTCAGTTTTCATGATATTGAAATCTTTTCCTGGACTCCTGTGTGCGCCTGAAACCCTCTTGTTTTAATTTAAACAACAGTTTAAATTGTTATTTAACGAGAAAAGTTAATTAGTCTCCGATGAGTGTACTTGCAAGTAAATCAGAAACGTTAATGAATTGATATATTAACGAATTAGTCAAGTAAAGCTGCTTTTTCCGCATCGAATATCGGACTTGGAGAATTTTGGCATGTATAAGAAGTGATTGACTTGCACTACTAGCTAACTCCGAAAATTTTCGAGCGTCTAAGAAATGGTTCACTTGCACTACTGGCTTGAACAAATTTCGCTGTCTGACTCATGGCTAACATCGGACGAAAATCAGGTAGGTCAACCATAAGTCGGAAGTCGAAACTCGATGTTGGAGATATGATTGACTTTACTACTAACTTCTGATTGTTGCAAACGCGTTCTGGGTTAGCAACTTTGTTGCTGCGAATCGCTCCCGAAAATTGCACATTGTTGCAAACGCGTTCTGGGTTTGCAACTTTGTTGTCGCGAAAATTTGCACATTGTTGCACGGCGCGCCGTTTTGCAACAATGTGTATTTTTCGGGAGCGTCTCCCGGCAACAAAGTTGCAAGCGCAATCTCTCCGTTATGCAACTTTGTTGCTGCGAATCGCTCCCGAAAATTGCACA